TCTTAATTGTTGATTTTCGCCAATCAACAGTTATCATTTATTGGTGGAAATCAACGGTTAAGATATGATAGTAATATTGATAGTAACATTATTTAGCAGTAACAATATGATATTCCATTTTATAACGAGAGAAACAATTACACAATAAAAGTCATGATAAAAGAAAATAAAAGATTTTTTAATTTAAATATTAAATAAATAATAATAATTTCAACTGAAATTACTATTATTCAAAAGAAAAAATATTTTTTCTAATAATAAAAGAAAGAGTAAAGTTTCTTTTGGGTTGCCAACAAAAAATACGATCCTTATTTCAGTCCCTTATAAAAAAAATTAGTCTTGTCCTTATAAAATTCAAAGTGAACTTATTTTAGTTTTTTTAAGGGACTAATGTTGATCTTTTGTAAATTTGTAAGGAACCACAATTTTAACTAAATAGGTCCACTTTGAATTTCTTAAGAATCTAGATACTATTTTTTTTTATAAAATACTAAAATGAAGACCGTAATTTTTATGAGTGATCCATAAGTAGCTTTACTCTTAGGGCGTGTTTGGTATGAGTATTTGGTATGAAATGATGGAAAAGTGGGGTGGAGAATATTTATAACACATCGCATTTCTAAATTATATGTTAATATATTAAATGAGGATTAAAGGGAAGGATTAGTGAAAATCCTTGAAATCAGGCTAAAAGACAAAGAAAAGGGTAAAACGGTAAATAGCCAAACACACAACTCTAAGAAGGTAAAATTGAGTAGAAGGTCTCAAATGATGAAATTAACACCGGAAATGGATTCAGAACGAAAAATTGAGTGATTAGGTAAGTTTCAGAAAATTTAGTGAATATTGTTTTTACCGGGTAAAAATACCGCGGTACAGTTGCACAGTAAAACGTGTCGATTGATTTTTGAGTTCTAGGTTTTGAATACAAGTTATAAATGATATATAGGACTAGGAAATATGATTTCTGATGAAAATTGATGGAAATTAGTAAGTTTGGGGAAGCGTGCCTACGACGCGCGTAGCAGCTTAAAACAACATTTTCTCTGAACGAACGGAAAACTCCAGATTCATCTGATTAAGGGTAATTAAATGACAATGGTTAATGTTAAAAATTAGAGTTTCTAAATAAGTTATGTATTTATGGACGTTTAGTGGAATCGGAAGGAAATTCGAATTAGTTTGAAATCGCGTGAGGTGGCGGTGGGGCCCACCTCACTTAAACCACTTAAGCCACATGTCCAAGGGACTATTCATCATCACTTTCTTTCTTCTTCTCTCTCGTAGGGCCGAGTTTCCATGGTTGGAAGGGGAAGAATTCTTCAAATTTTCATTTGCTTCTAACTTCCTCAGTACACCACTAAATCAAACAAAGTTTGTGAGCAAATTTGATGGAAACCACCACCCGAACCCATTCTATCGATTAGTTTCACTTGAAAACCTCTCAATTATGAGAAAATTGGAGAAATCAGCCACGAAATTTTGGAGGAATTGTGTGATTTTGGAGTTGTTTGCTCAAGCCATTGCTTGGAGATCAATTGGAAGAGCCTTGTGACTTAATTGTGGGTAAGTTTCAACACCTTTCATGGATTGATTTGATGATTTATTTTCATGGAAACCTAGGGCTTGTATGCTTGATTCATGGAGTTAGAGAGCTCAAATTGAGATTGTGTATTAGATGATTATGTCTTAGAATGATGTGTTGGAGCTATAAATGCAATAAAAATTATTGAGAAAATGTGCTCATAACTTAGGAAAATTTGGATGAAATGTCATGACTTTGTGTTGGAGATTGTTGTTAGGATTGTATAATTGGATTGTTGTATGGTTGTATGAGTTAATAATATGATTGTATGAGGTGTGGAGTAGTTGAATTGGATTGAAAATCCCTTGGTGTATGTATATGGTGAATTCGGCCTTAATGGGAAAAATGATGTTGTAAAATTATTTGGATGATGTGTTGTGTGTTAAATGGTAATTAGAAGGGTTGTGTGATGGTGGAAAGGTTGGAAAATCAATGGAAAAATATTGGATAGTGTGGAATTATATAATTGATCCTAGAGAAAATTAATTGGCAAAATGATGTTTGAATGATGTAGGATGCAAATTGGCACCTAAAATGACATTGGGATAACCTTGGGATGCTTAAGAAAAATGAAAAGAAAATAAAGAAAAATATTTGGTATTTTGCACTGTTTTGCCCGAACCTTACTAGGTGGAGGGGAGGAATTTGACGTTTTTGGATTTTGATAGGTTTACTGTATATTAATGATCCATATATGATCAATGTAGGTTGTCGTACGTGGATTTGAACCCCGAACCGTGAGCTCGGTGGGTTGCCCTTGGTCCTGGATCAAGTGGGATTGTGGTGAGTATTTTAAATCATGCATTTATGCTTGAGAATTGGCATGTGATTGTGGAATGGGAGTTGATTGGGAATGTCCTCTGTGGAGGCATTCTGGTTGTGTACCTAGCTTGGAAAAGATATTGCAGTGGAGCTGCAGGAGAGGGTTATACAGGTAACCTCTTGGTACTGGGGCTTGATCCCTTTGTGTGTTCCACCATGCCCGTTGAGGGTGATGGTACGAAGTGTATGTAAGTAATGTAGGATAACATGTTCATGCATATAGTATGTGTGTTGGTACATAGGATGTACCGTGTCTCTGGTCAGTAGACGTGTTGCCTTCGGGCGTTACGGACTTCCACTGGATAGGTCTCCGAGAGGGAGTTCCAGTTGACGTGGGGTCGTGGTGTGTGATCCGGATAGGAGCACACTAGGAAATCTCGGGTGGTTATGGATGGAGGGTGCCTTGGTTTGATGTTCTGGGAACACGCCTTGGTTTGAAACCCATAGGCTTATATGCAATAGGCTGGATGTTGCGTGGTTTAAGCATTGACCATTCCAACTTCGTCGTATTTTGTATTCCTATGCTCCCCTATTTCACTAAATCCCTTGCTTTATCCCGTTTTAAGATGTTATGTTATGTTATTTATATGCATCGAAGTGAACCATTGGGCGGAGTATTCTCCAGAACCTCTGGGTTATTGAGATATATTCGTATATCTCTCCCCGCTTTGGGGACTTTATTTCAGGAGGTAGCAGTGGAGTTGGAGCGGCAGACAAGAAGCCTGTAAGATGATTGGACGTAGGATTAGCTATTTTGCATTTTGTTGGCCATTGGGCCTAGCTAGACTTAGCTCATGAACAATGCATGTGATTAGGATTATGAGTATTATTTTATTCATGATGTATTTTGCCTAAGTTTAGTCTTGATGTATCATGTTTATTTTTGGAGTATTTATTATGTTTTATTTGAAGATTATGGTTTGTAAAATGTAATATGTCATTTGGAAGTTGTAAATTGTACATGAATACTTGATGTAATATGGAAGCATCTAATATGATGAAAGAGCAATAAGCCTATTCTAGGATGTGAATGATGCTTTATGTTTAAAGAATGCATGCAAATGGATTATGGTGATTGAAACATGCTAAGTTGGAAAATATAAGTAAAGTGATGGAAAAAGAGTAATTGGATATAAACTGTGATGAGTTGTGAGAGCCCCAAGGCATTGCTGGTCTTTGTGTGTGCCACCCAATGATTATTAGGTACAATTGAGTTCATAGAACACTTTTGTAAATTTGGAGATTATTGGAAAAACAAAGGAAATTCTAGCGAATTTTCTATAAATTGGCAAAATTTAGGCTAACTTTGGGAGAGCATATCTCCCTCCACAGAGGTCCGATAAAGACGTACCATATGCTGTTTTGAAGCTTTAGATGTCCTCTATCTTGTGGTAAAATTTGGGATTTTTCTGGGTTGGGAGTCGGCCTATAGAAGGCAGGGAACACGAACTGCCCATTTGATTACTGCACATGTGGCAGTTCTGGACCGAGTTTGGAAAAATTATTCCCGCTTCGTTTCTTGGTCAAATTAGGTGTATGATATATCAAATTGAAGATTGAGGTGTTTAGTTTGTTGTATAAAAATTTTAGAGCAATTAGTTAAGTGGATTTTCTAGAATAATTGATTGAGTGAAGGATGTTGGTGTTGTCTTGGGGTTGGCTGGCAGATTTGCTTGTCCAACTTCAAACGGCGATATCCGGAACAAACGAGAACTTTATGACTCGTGTGATAGCTTCCTAGAAAGGTAATTAAGTGTATAATAACATATCAAATGATGGGAGGCTTGTAGAATGCGATTTGTCAGCATAAAATTAAAGACCGAACCACGTTCGGATAGGTAAAAAACGTAAAAGTGAGAAATTAGCTAAGTGGGTTTATGGGGACCCTTAGTGACTCGAGAGATGTACTATGTGTTATAAAAATAGTTTAAATAATTATTCTGCGAAGAGTTTACAGTTACGGTCACAACTTTTATTTATTACGCTTTTTATTATTTTAAATGCTCGCGTAATAAACGAAAAAAGTTTACTCCCATTTTTATAAATGAATTGCTGTGATTGTAACTGCGCTTAATATCATAATTAATGTTAACAATACCGGTGTATAACGGGATGTTGCAATATTTATTTACCATGTTTGGTATGAGTATTGTGAACAAAATGCGGGCACATTTTTTTTACCCAATATTTATTTTTTGAACTACACAAAGGCAAATTTTTGTCCCACTTAATCTTTGGTATTTTTTTTTCTTGATCTTGGATTCTCAAAAGGTACATTTGATTCACTTTTTTCTCAAAAAAAGCAACATTTGATGAAGGCATATTCAAAAAATTAAGGGTATTTTGATAATTTCATTCACATTCCCATCAATATTTTATTATCAACCAAACATAGCATCAGTAAGATTAACCCAACTTTTCCTGAAAAATTTCGCTAACCAAACACTTTTTTGTAACTTATTTTGACTAAAAAAATTCCTACCAAATTCCTAACAATCTTTTTTTCACGATTAAAAAGAAATTTCTGTACCAAACTCTCTCTTAAAAAAGAAAAAAAAAAGAAAGAAAGAAACGTGGCTTCAAAACGCTCTTCGTCATTCAAGCTTAAAAGAAAAACAAACAAGGTTTCGTAGTTGAGAACGCAAAGACGAGATTGGGCATAGACGACAGTGCGTTTGGCTCCTCCGACCGGTCGACCACTTGTGCTGGCAGCTGATCCTTCATCTCTCTCTGCGCCCAAAACGTCATCCTTTCTGCAACTTCAATAACCCTTTTTTGTGAAGCATGTGAGCACCCACCATCTGTTTGATGCGTTTCCTTTGGTTTTTTTAGAAAATAATGTTACGTTCCTTTTGAGATTTTGGTTTCTTTAGCTTCAAACGTAATTGAATTTTTATTTTTATTTATGAAAAAATAAGGAAGTCAAAGGCATCAGTGAATCGACCCCCCACACCGGATGTGGTCGAAAATACTCCTGAAAGAGAACCCACGCTTCAAGAACTCATCAACATCAAGGTTTGTTCGCTGGAGTTATACTTACTTAGTTAGTTAAGTTGTTATTTTGTTGTTAGAGTAGTTATGGATCTTGAACGGTAAAGTTGTTGTTTGGTTTTGATGTTGGGTTTGTTTTTGTTCTTGGTTTTTGGATTCCCTGTTCAGTTGATCGAGACTGGGGAGAAGGAGCGTTTGATGGAACTTTTAAGGGAAAGGCTTGTGGATTGTGGTTGGAAGGATGAAATGAAAGCTCTTTGCAGGTTTTTTTAATTTTATCTCATTTTTTTGTCACACATCATTATTTCTTTTGTGAAAGATAAAAAAGAAGGATTCACCATTAGCAATTTTGGGGTTTTAGGTTTATTTGTTATCAATTCAGTGCTGTTCTGACTTCTGATTGCTATTTTATTTTCTTTGCTGTACACTTTATAGTGTGCTTTATTGGCTTTAAGTGTACTTGGTAGAGGGGGATACAGAAGGGTGTAAATTTGAAATTGAATATTCATTCCTATTCTATTTTTGGACTCCAGTTTTCCCATTTTGAGCTTTTCAAGCATTAGCGCAAGGGTCACTTCTTACTTTTCTATTATGCTTATACCCTTTAGTTTATTTTTCATGTAGTAAGTAAGTATAAACAAAGATATGATGGCTTCATCAATCCCAGGGCATGAGACTGTAACCTGGTTTGCCATATCAAAACAAATAACTAAAATGATTTCTTTCAATCATAAATGAAATTTTCATGAGCACTATAATTGTGCTCTCTCTCTAACAAGTTCAAGTCATTTTGCGTTGTTCTGGTTGAATGAAGATGCATCAAATCATTTGGTGAATTGCTTTTTGCTTGGTGCCAGCTTTGTGTATTTAATGCCAGGTTCTTTAGTACAAGCTTTTGTTAGCGCTTAACAGTAGTGTGACTGTATGACTATGAGTATTCTAATTGACTCCATCGTAATATCAGATATTCTTACTCACTGTACATTCTTTTCACTTTGCTGTTTTATGTTCCCTTGTTGTTCTTTTCTTATTGTTTACACATTTTCCTCTTCAAACCTTAACACTTCTCTTGTTTGTGTGACTTCTCAAAATTGGAATTTAACTTACATTTTACTGCAGAGCCTTTGTAAAGAAGAAAGGGAGGGATAATGTTACTGTCGATGAACTTGTACATGTAATCACTCCAAAGGGCAGAGGTAAATAATTGTTTCACAAATTTATTTACTTCTTTGCAGCATATAGACAACTGGTGGTAACTTGGTTAAAAGCACCTCATTAGGAAAACGCCACATATGTAATTGTGCATTTTATTTGCTTCTTGTGAATCTATTGAGAAATACTTTTAGAGACTCTTAATTAACAGAGATTTTACATCAGAAACTGAACAATTGTATTGCAGTGTTGGTTTTACTTAGCACCAAAATTTCTAACTGACAAGAAAGGGAATTGTCTTTTGCAGCCTCCGTTCCTGATTCTGTAAAGGCTGAGCTGTTGCAGAGGATTCGCACATTTCTTGTGTCTGCAGCTCTTTGATATATTCGCATGGCTTGGTCAGTGTTAATCTCACCAATAATTTGTAAGGGAAAAGGTTCTCTCATGTGATACGAGATCATGTGAGACGATCGCAGCCATCCACTGACAAATTAACGATTATCTTTTATTCATTCTCATTTTATAAAAATTATGGGTGGAACTAGTATTGAACAAGCATATTGTACTAGGTTTAATCTGGGTGGGATATGAATAGGTCCCCTGTAAAACCTTGATTATTTCACCCCTTTCAATATAAATTTGAGAAATCATTTTAACACTAATGACTAGCAGCGAGTCTCACATATATACTTGACTAGGTCACGAGTTGTCAAATGCCTCTTCATTTCACGTTTAGGTCATCGTCATCCTAAACAATTTAGGCTGTATATAGAATCTTTCTCATCTCTTAGAAGGGGTTACATCTCTTGTTGATTCGAACGGTGATGTCTTTGTCCTTGTTTGTGCACTGTAATTCAATTATGCTACAAATCCAAACATCAGTAGCATTTATAGAAGTGGCATATATCATGAAATGCCTCTATACTCCCCATTGCCCTTTATGGATGATTAGATGTTTTAATCTAACGAGCAAAAGATAGGTGGTGCGTCCATCATGTGACAAGAAAAAAAGTTGTATAAGTGTTAGATTTTAGTCTTTTGGCCCTGAAGAATCAGAATTACATTCTGGGAACTAAATCTTACCTCTCTAAAAGCATTGTTGAATTTCTTGTGCTGATAAACCTGATTGACAAAAAGCGTATGTTCAACTTAATTGCTTGAACTATATTATAATAGTTTAATTTTCAAGTGCATTTTCTTTCTGGTAGATGTATAGAATTTGCAGTCTCACATGATGTAGACATGAATTTATTTGGCAAAATGAATTGAAAAACACAAGAGAACTGAAACCCATCATACATTGTAAAACTTCCCAACTTATTATATGTTGTGTAATGCAAACAAGAAACTTTCGATCAATCTAAATTCATCTAGAAGGGAGCATTTTAGTCGAGCAATATACCTAGAAGGTATTTGGGCATGTAGTTAGTTAATAAAAGTTGGGCATATGTCATATAACATAGCGTTGATTAATAGATGCAGTATTATGAATCTAAGAGTTCTAACTGCATGAAGGTGGAGAAAAGATCAGCATAAATTGTTAGAACATTTCACTAATATAGGAAGATGGATATGCCTGTTGGAACTCTGTGCCAACTGCCAAGTACTGAAACTGCTATGAATGCGATGTTCTTTTGCATGTCTCAAGATTAATGTGTGTTGAGATATATAAAACCATTAACTTGGATCTGAAATAGTAATATTGTGTATTGATCTAATTCAGAGAGTTACAATATATAGAGATCCTAATGAGCTTAAGTGAAAGGCCCAGACCTAATATAATCAGAATATTCACATATAGGAAGTAATCCAATCATATCTAATCATATCTAATATATTCTAACACTCTCCCTCAAGCTGGTGCGTATATATTGTGAGCACCAAACTTGTTACAAATGTATTCAACCCGAGGACCTCTAAGAGCTTTAGTGAAGACATCCGCTAGTTGATCAGAAGAGTTGACGAAAGTTGTCTTGATTTCTCCTGACTGAATCTTTTCTCGAATGAAGTGACAATCAATCTCTATATGCTTGGTTCTCTCATGAAATACAAGATTAGAGGATATATGTAGCACAACTTGATTATCACAGATGAGTGTCATGGGTTGTTTCTGTTCACAAAGATGAAGCTCCTGAATCAACTGCTTTAACCAGATTAACTCACATGTAGTATTTGCCATTGCACGATACTCAGCTTCTGCACTAGATCGAGCAACAACAGGTTGTTTCTTGCTCTTCCACGAAATTAAGTTTCCTCCAAAGAAAACACAATAAACGGAAGTAGAGCGCCTGTCCGAGGGTGATCCTGCCCAATCAGCATATGAATAACCACAAATTTCTGTATTTCCCTGATCCGAATACAACAAACTTTTTCCTGGTGCTCCTTTGATCTATCGGAGGATCCTCACAACAGTATCCCAATGTGAATCACAAGGGGAATCAAGGAACTGACTAGCCATACTAACAGCGAAAGAAATATCTGGCCTAGTCACAGTAAGATAATTGAGCTTCCCAATTAGCCTCCGATGACGTACATGAACAGATAACGGCTCCCCCTGTCCGGGCAATAACTTGACATTAGGATCCATGGGTGTATCAACTGGTTTACTCCCCAACATACCAGTTTCTTCTAGGATATCCAAGGCATACTTCCTTTGACAGATAGAAATGCCCTGTCTAGATTGCGCCACCTCAATTCCCAAGAAGTAACACAGCTTCCCAAGGTCGTTTGTTTGAAATGCACTGAATAAATGCTGTTTTAACTGACGAATTCTGTCTTGATCACTTCCGGTGAGAATGATGTCGTCAACATAGACTCACAAATAGATGCACTTGTCAGGAGATGTAATCCTATAAAATATAGAATGGTCAACTTTACTGCGGATTAAGCCAAACGCCTGAACAGCAGAACTGAAGCGACTAAACCATGCTCGAGGAGACTGCTTGAGACCATATAAGGATTTTCGAAGATGACACACCTTTCCAGACTCCCCCTGAGCAACAAAACCAGGTGGTTGCTCCATGTAAACTTCTTCTTGTAAATCACCATGAAGAAAGGCATTTTTGATGTCAAGTTGAAGGAGTGGCCAGTGACGAACAGCAGCAAGGGCAAGAAATAGGCGGACTGACGCCATCTTAGCGACCGGAGAGAATGTATCGCCATAATCAAGGCCGAATATTTGAGTAAAACCCTTTGCAACTAGGCGTGCCTTGAGTCGATCAATATGGTCATCAGGTCCAACTTTTACAGTAAACACCCAGCGACAACCAACTATAGACTTCTCTGGAGGAGTAGAAATAAGGTTCCAAGTGCCATTGAAATGAAGTGCAGTCATCTCATCAAGCATCGCTTGGCGCCACCCTGGATGGGAAAGTGCTTCACCTGTGGTCTTAGGAATAGAAATAGAAGAAAGACTAGAAACAAAGGTGAAATGAGGTGAAGAAAGACGGTCATAGCTCAAAAAGGTATAAAGAGGATAAGGGTTACGAGTAGTACATGTACCTTTTCTTTGAGCAATAGGAAGAGCCTCTGGTGAAGGATCCGGAGGGGAAGAATCAACTACAGGGGGCAATGAGTCGGCAAGGGTCATGTCGACAGGAGGCACAGTTTTACGACGCTGATAAGTGAGAAGTGGACGGTCCTCAGGTACTGAAGCAATAGGTTGCTCATCTGGAATAGAAGCACCTACAGCTGACAAGTCAAGAAAAGGGTCAGGAAGAACATGATCAACCTGTGACAACTGAGATGAGATAGAATTAAAGGGTTGTTGATAAAGAAAAGTGACATCAGCGGAAACTAAGTAACGCTTAAGATCAGGAGAATAACAACGATAACCCTTTTGAAGACGAGAATAATCAAGAAAAATACATTTAAAAGCTTTGGATGTTAACTTGTCCTTACTAGCGATAAGATCATGAACAAAACAGGTACAACCAAAGACATCTGGAATAGAAGCACCTCATTGAGATGGGGATAGAGAATAGAGAGGAACATCTGGAAGCAATAAGTTATAAGGAATGTCATTATCAAGCACAGATGAAGGCATACGGTTGATGAGAAAAGAAGATGCAAGGATTGCATCGGCCCAGAAGTGAAAAGGAACATGCATGTGAATAAGAAGAGTTCGTGCAGTCTCAATGAGATGTCTATTCTTACGTTCAGCTACTCCATTTTGTTGTGGAGTATGAGGACAAGTAGTTTGGTGTAAAGTACCATGTTTGGCTAAGAAATTAGAAAAGTCCACAGACACATATTCCTTAGCATAATCACTACGTATAATACAAATAGAGGCACCAAATTGAGTATGAATTTCAGCAAATTTTTTTTGATAAATAGAAAACAACTCTGAACGGTTTTTCATTAAATAAATCCAAGTACAACGAGAAAAATCATCAATAAAGGTAACAAAATACCGAAAACCTAAAACAGACACACTACAACTAGGACCCCAAATATCTGAATCAATAATTGAAAAAGGAGCATCAGCTCGTTTATTGACTCGATTAGCAAATGAGGAGCGTATGTGCTTTCCTTGCTGACATGACTGACAATCTAAAGTCTGAAGACCGGACAAAAGAGGAACCATCTTCCGTAATTTGGAAAAACTAGGATGCCCAAGGCGACTGTGGATGAGTTGTGGAGATTCTGTGAGAGAACAAGCAACGGAAGAACTCGGCACAACCAGGTAGAACAGACCTCGTAACTCACGGCCCACTCCAATCGTCTTCCCCGTACCCGGGTCCTGCACAGAAACAGAATGATTTGAGAATGTGACAATACAGTTAAGAGAGTTGATCAATTTACTAACAGAAATTAAATTGTAAGGGATGTTAGGAATGTAATATACATATGTCAAGGTCAATGAGGAGGTTGTACAGATTTGTCCAATTCCATGAACAAGAGCCTTAGTGCCATCAGCAAGGGTAAAAGAGGGTAAATTATCATAATATGTAAAGGATGAAAAGAGTTCCTTATTACCACAGAGGTGATCAGTAGCACCTGAGTCAAATATCTAAGGGCCAAGTGATGCAGAATGAGAAACACAACCAACGAGATTACCAGTTTCTGAAGCAGAATCCTGAGACTGAGGAGAGACCTTCCTGAGAAGGGTCTGGAATGCTGCATAGTCTTCATAGGAGAGTTTGAAGCAGAATCCGATTGAGCTATATTAGCATCATGAGAAAGTCGCAGGTGAGGGTACTTTGTGTAGCAACGTTCCTCATAATGACCAAGTTGCTGACAATAATGACAACGAGGTTGCTGACCACGTCCGACTGGGCCTCCTGGGCCACGTCCTCCCGGGCCTCTACCACGACCACGTCCACCTCCACCTCCAATGTTCCCGCGAAAGTCAGTACGGGAAACTAGAGTAGTAGAATCAACAGCAGAAGACGATGCAGGAGCAGATTTCTTATTCAGATTCAGAAGACGCTGATACGTCATTGATAGATCAGGCTCCCCACTAGTCAAGATAGTATCCCGGACATTATCATATTCTTCGAGGAGGCCAGACAGTGTGGCAACCATAAAGAGGTGTTCCACCTGTTTTCGATATGCAGAAGGATCAGTAGGGTAAGGCAACATATCCAAATATGCCTACATCAAAGATCGACTCTTGCCAACATATGTCTCCATCTGAATGTCGAATGATTTGCTCAGTTCCATAAACTGAGAGATGATGAAATAGAGCTGCTGAACATCATTAGTGTAGAGGTTTTTTGCTTCCTCCCACACTTCAATGCAAGT